CACAGATAGCTTAAATCATAATTACAAAAACAATCAGCAAATCAGTTGCCATGTTGTAATTCACTTTTATCATGTTAATTAAGCTAATGCTTAAAAGGCATGGCATTAAACTGGAAACGTCTAAATTGAGCCTGAAATGTGTTTTTCCCCCTGATCAGCCTATGAAAGAAATCTCTCTTTTCTTAAAATACAATATCATGTTCATGTACAGTATGTATATGCTTAAGTATAAAGCACAGGGCTGTGTTAACGCTCTGATTTTAATTTATGTGGGAATTGTGCATATGGATTACCCAAATACGGTAATAACAAATGTGAGAAGTTAGAGTAAATGTGTCAAGATTGGATGACATTGCTGAATCTTTAAAAAGCATTGCACTTATAGTCCCCTGAAAATGTTAACCTGCTAACACCAAAGTGATCTGAAGCCCAGCTTAAGTATTGTACAGAGAGGTGAAACACTGTACAGAGTCGTAAGGTAACTGGTTGTATGACATAACCCTACAGTAAACAGCCTTGAAATCTCTATAGCACACCACTGAGCCAGTGTAGTTCTTGAATGCTTTTGTATATTATAATATAATCTTAACCTTAAAGATAAAGTAAAGGACATCTATCAAAGCCAGGCTTTGGAATTATGTAGCTAATCCTCTTATTTTTCCTCGCAGAATACAATGCAAAACAGATTCCAATTCTTATTCAGCGGGGACAGTAAAATGACACAATAAAACGTCAAAAATGAGAGGCAACCCACTAACAAATAAAACCTTTACAAAGCAGATTTAAAAATCATCTGCGATCCAGCATCTTACTGTGCAGCCATTTTTTTTGTGCAAAATCAGGTATTTGTTTTCTTTGATCTACTGATTGTCAAGCTAAGAAACATAAAGGAATGGTATTTTTATTCTCGTGATCTTTTTTATACAAAGGTCCGACCGCTTCCAATATTTAATTTGTCACAGCATTCAAATATTATAGGTGTCAATTCAGGACATCTGAATTTATAATGATAGATGACAAAATTAGCAGGCTGCGCCTTTCCTCATCATGAGGCGCCTACCATCTAAATCATCACCGTCTGTGCCCGCTCACACAGTCCCTGACGAAAACACTGGACAATGATATTCAATAAGGCCAAGCTTGTGTACGATGTTAATCGATTACGATGTTACATTTGTTTGCCCAGACCTCAAACAAAAAGATCATTTATCCCCACTGCTAGGTGTTAAGTGGATCTCCCTTCACAGTCATTCACATGTCTGTCATACAAAAAGATGCCAGTCCTATTTAAAGCAAGTGTGAAATCATAATGTTCCTTCACAGAAAGCCTGGTCTGTAATCGAGGGAAATATTAGTGTGATGTGTTCGTCTCCTGCAACACGCAAACACTGTGACCTTTGATTCACGGTTCACTTGCGAAAATCAATCTTTCCCCCCTATCATTTACAAAGGTTTGCCTGGTTTTTACAGGTTTATATAATCTTTTTTCCTACATCCATGAGTTTATCTATTATTTTCTATTACTTTTTGTTATTCCGTTGGAGGACAGAAGTCCAGGAGTACTGATTCTAGCTGGAGTTTCTTCTTCCAACTTCTTCCGAGTCCCTAACATTAATGAAATTGACTTCATCAGGAATACCAGCTCTGTTTAGTGTACAATAACATCAACAGTTTTGCATTTGTTAAAAAATATCATGAGCTGATGTATTAGTCACTTTTGAAAGGAAACTAAATGTTTAGTTCTCTATTTTCAAGGTAGCAGAAAAAACACATTCGATGAGTGTGAAACACAAATGCACAATATTCTTTATTATACTGTCCATGAAAAATAATTCACATGTTTATTACTACACCAATGCCTCATAGATGCAGAATTTAATAAAAAGTTGTTACCAGCTGTTCCCTAGAAAACACTACAATTGATATTGCACCACTTAAGTACCAGAATTACAGCTTTTTTCAATCAAAGTACTGAAGCAATAAATGCTCAAAATCACTGTACAAATCCTGATCACAGTAGACCGTGAATTATGAAGGACTGTGCAAATAGTGTCATTTACTTAACAAGCATCTTGCATGGGCATTTATAGTCTTTCACATAGCTTATGATAAAAGAACACTTTTGCTAATAAGGTAAGAAACACTGATTTTTGGTGTATTACTGTATGAATTTAGATTTGAGGAGAAATTATTTAGATGTGAAAATGCAAAGAAAAGTTTATATCTTTGCAAATATCCTCTGAAATATAACAAATGTTCACTTTTAAGACAATTAAATCTCTTCTTCTTTATATTTTTGCAATTTTTTTTAGAAATTAATTTAATTGGAAATGACTGATAAGGAACTAGTAAAGGTTTATTCCATGCTGAAAAGAGAAGAAAAGACGTATATTTCGGCTGTGGAGCCTTCTTCGGGTGTGTACTTAATATTTTATATCACTGCAAGGTCACTTGTATGTGTAGTAATAGTGTGGTTTCTAGCTTAAACAAATGTATTATTATACAGGTTATTTATTATAATTCAAAGGCTATTTAAACTATCATTAAAATCCAAGGTTTCTAATATATGCTGTTGTCATGGGGTCATGCTTTTTAGTAAGAAAATTCCCGAAACATTAGCACAATCTGAAAACCATCTAAACACCGCATTTCCACCTAATATTACTGCAACCATAAATCCCATCAAAATAAAGCAAAACATTTTGACTCATATACAGTGAATGTGTGCCTTTATTACTTTATTACTCTGTGCCTTTCCAGTTTTGGTAATTATGAAACGTTGAATTTACTGAGGTAGTTAAGATACTGGTGGTTGGTATACAGCTTTGGGGTTTCGTTGAGGGCTAAGGGGAAATATGGGTATTTCATGCCTACATGTGACTTTGCACAATGTGTCTCAGTACGGAGAATTATTCACTCTCTGTCCATCACGTTATTGTCTCAGGAGAGGGCACAGGACAGAAGACAAACCACACTGTTAGGCCACAGTACCCTCATATTTACTGGTGAAAATGGAGAAGCCAAGAAAAAGTTTAAGAAGTAGATCTTATATAAATATTATTTTAAAATATTTACATTATCGCAGATGAAATGGAATCCAGAATTTGAGCATTTTTTTCAACTCAGAGGATACACAACAATCAATCATCTGGGACTTTATTTTAAGTGATGTCATACAAGCCTGATGTTTTTTTAAAAATCACACGAGAATATTTTGATTCATTTTCCACTTCCTTCGGAGGGATTACTGTAGTGGGAAGAAAAGTTTTCACTGGATTTCTGGACAACTTCCCTACAGATTAGACAATATCACAAAAACAAACCAGAACAACTTAAAATAAGAAGTGTTGCCTTATTTTCCCTTTTTAAATATAAAACCTGAAGGACTTGATGCATTTGACATAATTAATGCACTGTTGCCATCTTCAGGACATTAAAATAGTGCAAGCAGTCCCCAGAACGGCAGAGGATAACTCTTACACAGCCACACATTTATAATTCATTCCCCTAAATTCAATAGTTAACAATAGAAGAACATTTCCATTTTCTAATTGTAACAAACTGCAATCAGAAAACAGCACAATACTGCTATAGCAATGACTTTATAAGATTTCTTATCATGTATTAGAATGCAGAGTTGACAATATCATATTTAAGGAAGCAATCTACAGTATGTGATTTGCCTTCCCCTGTTATTTCAGCGCCTTTTAAATACATTTCATGCCAAAGTACTCAACCCTTTCTAATGATGATCTATTTTGTTGAATTACACACTATAAATTATATATATACAGTAAATGTTACAATTTTAAACATATAGTTCAAATCAAAATCTGCCCCTCTTCTGTCCTTTCACTACCATTTTTTTCTTTTCTATTTTCCTTCGCTTATATCTCTTCCACATCCTGTTTTTATATTATTGTTGGATCTACCCAGTTTGTTTAGGTCTGTCATGCTATGCTGATTGGTCCCATCTGTTCATTAATGTAATATTCTTTTTCCTGAAAAACCAATAAATCAATTGAACATAACATTCAAATGTACAAACATTTGTGGATGAAGGTAGTTAAAGGTCAGTAAAAACTGTACAAATGATCAAAACATGTTAAATCAAAATATGCTGATTGCGTATGTATTCACCCCTGAGTCAATACTTGCAAATAGACCTGCGAGACTTTTTGAATAAGTCAATATTAACTTTTCACACGCCGCGATTCAGAAATATTCAAGTCCTGTCCTGTGGGTTGGAGATTGTTGATGGACAGCAATTTTCAAATCTTCAACGGGTTTCCTATCAGATTCAAGTCAGAGCTTTGATGGGCTTCTCAAGGACATTCCTTGTTTACAGTACTCCTAATGCATAAGGACACAACACAAAACCACATGTCCAGCCCATACAAGAAATTAAACTTTCAGTAAAGAAATAAAGAAAAAAAAATCATAAAGCCTTTGCTTTAAGGTAACCTCATTTCTAAATGACCTATTTATCATTTTCAGAAAGAATGGTGTACATATTCCTGCTTTCTTACTCTCTAAATGCTAAATTAATTTACTGTTGACACGTCTTGCTCATAATAATAATGACTTTACGTTTGTGCTGAATAGTTTAATTTAATGTAAACCAGGTTTGACTAAATCAATAGACAAAAGACAATTCATTAGGGCAATGACTAAGGCCTTCGGTCCTATATCTAAAAAAAATCCTAGATCTCATTCAAAAATCCACAAAAGGTTACTATTCAGTAACAACACACTACAGACACAAGAATAAAAAAAGAACTGGAACAGAAAATATAATATGTTCACCCAGAGTATTTAGAGTATTCATATTATTTTAAAGGGGGTATTGTAAAACTCTCGTTCCACAATGATCAAACCCTTATGCAACTTTTTATGCAAGTGTGGATTTTTCATTTCTGCACACAAAAAAGAATGAATAACTCTTCGGGTGTTTCCGTCATCTGAAACGTAAAATGCCGAATATAAGGGAAAGGGTTAACTTTACAGTTCCGGGTCATACGTCAACAAATATGGCTGCGCCTTAGTCAATGTGACTCCTCGATAACCAAAAAAAAATATTTTCAGATATTCCGTTTATCTCAGGAGTACCGCCTTGTGGTGGTCGTATAATCCCAGCGGGAAATCACCGTAGGCTCGTCAGGTACGTGAATACTGTATTTTTCTAAAATTCTTTCACTTGCAAAACGTTGACTCGTTCTTCAGAAAACACTTTCCAATTAAGACGTTAATTATTGCGAATGGGTATAATCGATTATAAAGAGTGCTCATTTCGTTCTAGGTGTTGCTGACGAAGAATCCAACATGGTTCATCTTAGTAAGTATACGATTACTACTGAATCGAGGCATCAAACGAGTATTACGTTATTGAGTAATAGTGGCTTCTGATGAGTGTACCATCAATATGCTTAATATGCTTAATAAAAATATGTTTTTCCCCCCCGCAATAGCACCTTCGTTGCTGAGACATTACCACGGAGGGCATGTTGTGATCCGTCTGGCGCTGGGTGGCTGCACCAACAGACCTTTCTACCGAATTGTGGCCGCTTACAACAAACGGGCCCGGGACAGCAAGTACATCGAGCAGCTGGGATCGTACGACCCGCTTCCCAACATCTATAACGAGAAACTCGTCAGTTTCAGCTTCGAGAGAATCAAGTACTGGATCGGCTGTGGCGCCCATCCCACTAAACCTGTGGCGAAGCTTCTTGGTGCGTTTTCTTCTGCCGGGAGTGGGGTCCTTATCTCGTGTCGGTCTGAATAGTGGCTGAAAGTAAAAAGCAAACCCGGCTGTTGTCTTATGCTGGATGTAACACATTTTTAGGCTCGAGAAAGATTAATTGATATCTAATTAGCGTATTCATTCAACATGTCCATAAACAGGTGTTAAAGAACAGCAGGGTATATTTTCAAAAACAGTGGTGATGAATACCTCTAATGTATCTAGTTTTAAACGAATACTGCTCAAGATAACTTGATGAGTCTGGTGCAGTTTCACCTCCATCTGAAGCCCACAGTGCTGTGTGGAAAACTTTCCTTTCTCAGTTGTTTTTGTTAAAAGAAAAATATTTTTTCTGGCTGTTGTATTTAGTAAATGAGGACCTAATGTGATCTGAGAAATGTAGCTCTAATCTACACCACCTAGGGAAACGTGATAAAACATACATGTACAGCTGTAACTTTGACCTCAGTTCCACTGCAGAAAGGTCATGGAAGCTCACACATGAGATTTAATGTGGCTTTTCTTTTTGGCTGTAGGGCTGTCTGGGTTTTTCCCTCTTCATCCCATGACTGTGACAGAGGCAGAGCGCCGCAGGAAGAGAGCAGCTCACAGAGAGGAACAGACACAGGCTGGTGAGGAGCAGGACGAGGCGAAACTGCAGGAGGTCTAGGGCCTGCCTGAGCTCTGACCAGCAGCCTTAGTGCCATGGTCTCATTTCCTATGGGAGGAAGTCTCCCGCGCTGTCCTGGCAGACTGCTGCTGTCACCGAGACAACCACTGACTGACTGACTGCTCTGATCTGCAAGTTTCCTGGACTCTTCAGGCAAAATCATACTTTGTAAAAAAAAAAAAGTGTTGTTTGTATGGCAATAAATGTGCATCTCTAGCCTTTTTCAAAAAGATTTCAAGAATACTGTTTTCAAGATGCTAGTTCATGTGCTTTCCTCTAGAGTAAAGGCAAGTGTCGACTGGTGAGAATCCTGCAGAGTGAAGTTTAAGAAGATAAGAATGAAGGCCATGAGACAGCAATGCTGAGTGCTATACTGCCATGTCAGCTGCTTTTTTCAAACTGAGGACATATTTAACTCGTTACAGTCTACACATGGGTAGCAGAATAGATTCCTACTTCTGTTCAAACAGTAGAGTAGGTTCTCTTTCATTTTTCCTGATTACATAGTACTACTACTACTACTACTACTACAAAATAATACCTTATCTCTAGTATCATACTAAGACTTTGTAACTCTGCATAAGGTAAAGATCTTCAAGGCGTCTCTGTGTCCATTCAGTTGACCTATATTATTTCCCTAGTTGATGCACTTATCCAGAGTGATGTAGTATATACAGTAGAGTAACTATGCATGGGCTTCTTTCACAGATAGAAAAGAAAGATTTAGATCTCTTTGAGATTATAATTTAACTGAGAATCCCTTGGCATTTCAACAATACAGGTCAATAGCTGCGTCAGCATGCGTAGGCTGCAAAGGAACAAGTAAAGGTTTGTTACCTGCTGACAGGAGAAGAAAGAAACACAACGTTTTGGCTGTGGAGCCTTCGTCAGGTGTACGCCTAAAGAAGGCTCCACAGCCAAAACGTTGTGTTTCTTTCTTCTTTTTTCAGCATGGAATAAACCTTTACTTGTTCCATTTAAACAATACTACTTAAAGGTTTGTGAATATCCTAATGTTTTGTTCAATGAATAAAATGAAGTTCAGAGTGAAACATCAAAAATGTTTATGAAGGATGGTCCTGAACAAATAACACAAATGAAGACCGTTCTATATCTGCTTCAATTATTATATCAGTCACTAGTTGCTTAAAAACCCAAAAATGTTTGTATGGAATACAACATTTTTTTATGCTGAAATATTTTTTACTTACAAAGGTCTTCAGTAATGTTAACTTTAAAAATACTTTAGATGAGACAAATATGTCTGAGAAAGGTGTGAGTATACACCACTGTATTACTTTTCTGAAACATTCAATTCTCAAAACAGGGTGTAACACTTCTAATGAAACTTGTTTAATGTTTCAAAATGGTGTTACCAGAAGACTCCACAAAGGCAGTTAATTTAATTTCTTAACCATTTAATGAGGTGTAGGCTTTTGTAAAAGAAGGCGGAACCACTTTCATTTTGCTTATTGCATGACAAAAAATCTTCACCCTTGCCGATTATAGGAAAATAGACACTTCTTATCATGTGTTGCTTAATCTCATTTAAAAGCATCTTTACCTATTTTGTGAGTTTAAGATTACAAATGATTACAGTACCACAACAGATAATGTGCTGGGCTCACCTATGTCATAGAAACGTGGTTTGCCTGATAAGATTTTACATTTTCTTTGATTTTTTAATTTGTACAAGATTAAATATATGCTTGTAACAATGTCATAAATGCAGAAGCATTCTTTTAAATTATTTTGAATACCAGTACTGTTGAATTTCATAAATATTTTATTTACAAAGTACAGAAATATTTACAAAGTAAAAAAAATGTTCTTTACTTTGCCAAACAGTCTAGGAGATCTACAACGGTTGTGAACATTAATGATTTACCTTGTATGGTGGCTGCTTTTCACAGACCTTACAGTGAGAGCCAGCTGAACAATTAAGGATAGGCCTAGTCAAGAATTTGCCCCAGAAAACAGATCATGCCGGACTATCGGAACATCCTGGCACCATTCCTGAGAGTGGGATGTTGGCACAGAGCAGGGACAGATGGGCCTGCAGAAAGTTATGTTTCCTTGGGTAATATCTGACTTTGTAATTCTCGTCTGTGGAGGAAGTGAAGTTAATGTTTGTCAGGTTTATTCCTGTGACATTTGGAATGTCTTGGTAAAAACATCAGTTTCCTTGACACTGTCACTGTTGTTTTGCCATGGAGGAACAATGGTGAACCAGCCCTGTAGTGAAAAATCGACCCTTCCCTTGGACCAAGTTCCACCTGTTATAAGGTCATGCATACATCGCCTTTGTGTTGTCTGTATAGTAAAGCTTTTAAGAATAGAACAGGTGGAATAATTGGTATCGATATACTTAAGGTGGATGGCAAGTTGACACAATGGTTGGTATCGCTGCCTCACAACACTGGGGCCCTGGGTTCATTTCTTGACAGAGGGTGCTACTGTATGTGCGTGGTGTTTGAATGCTCTTTCCATGTTTGTGTGGGTTGTCCCTGGGAGCTCCGATTTCCTCCCACTGTCCAAAGACATAGGTGGTAGATTAATTGGCTTCTGGGAAAATTGGTTCTGGTGTGAGTTTGTGTCTGGCATCCCATCTAGGGTGTACCCTGCCTTGCGCCCAGTGCTTTTAAAGATAGGCTTCATCTCCCTCACAACCTTAAACTTAAAGAAGGACTTAGAAAATGGATGAGTAGACTTTCTCCACCTTTCTTCATTATGTGTGAACATTTTTATTAAACATTAACATTTTGATAATTGTCTTAATCTACATAATTCCACATGTTCTTACAATTAACGCATATTTGTATGCCTTGGAGCATTTCAATTTGTAATGCAATGGATTTGTAATGCATTGTATTTTAAGTTTAGGTGTCAGGGAACACTGAGCACATCAAGAACTGAAGATTAGAAAATTTCAATTAGATGACTTTGGATGGAAGAACAATATACTGATTTCAAGGCATACAGACAACAATTTAAATCATACATAATGATCTACTATTCCCTTGTAGTTAAATACCTAAATGGTAGGTATAGTAGTGTCTGAGTTGTATATTGAAAGCAGTATAAACACTTACTTCTGTTTTCTTGTACCAGTTTGTTGAAAAAAAGGACAATAGAGGAGCAAAGTGCAGAACTTGGTTCAAGGTGTGTAGTGTAAAATCAACAGGAGTACTTTATCACAATCAGAAGAATTATCTGTGTAAAAAATAAGTGCCAAGCAGGGCCTTATATACAGTAGTTCCAAAACAAAAACTCTGCAATGCAAAATTATTTATGTCATCTTTCACAAATATATTCAATTGTTGATTCATTTTCTTTCTGTGTATCAGATACAAAAGGCAGACTAATGCAAACATAATGTGGCAGAACTGCCAATTATAAAACGTATGAGGAAGGAATCCATAAAACTGGACTCTTCTTAAAAGCTGATGTTGAGACTTCATCAAAAAGGTGCAAAGGAATGATCTGGTCTTTCTTTAACACCTGCACTCATTTAAAGTCTAGAAATAGGAGTGGTATTCTGTCCTTATCTGAACTGCAACATTCAAATTGTGTTGACTCAAGGCCTTCTTGTCACATGTTTTTTCACACTGGGTATCCATTTGGATAAAAAAAATCCTTCCTATGTGCTAGATGTAACAATGTGACCTTATTGAAAAAGATACCCTGGATTGGACCAGCTAGAGGTAGTGCATGTACTGCTTTATAAATACGCAGAGATCCCCACCTTATTGTTTACTACGATATCTGTTGCATCTCTCATTTCACTCAGGGATCCTTTTTATAATTCATACCACTTCAGTCCAACAGTAAAAAAGAAACTATAAACAACAGAGAAATCCAGAGAAGCCAGTAATGCACAATCTACATTTGATAACTACAGTGACTATTTAAGAGAATTAAAGCACTACTTCCGCACAATGAAAAACCTTTACGAGTGTAAAATTGTAAATGACTGCAAGTGACATGCACTGACCTCTGTGTTTAGGTTTCTACTGAAATGTGAATGTTGAAATGTACTGGGTTGTGTGCATACTGTAACTGTAAAAGTACTTTATCAGGGAGTGTCTAGTGAGCTCATGTTTGCATTCACTGAGTTACAAAAGATGTTCCAAGAGTTCATCTTGATAGGGTATTTATTAAATATGTTTTGTTTAACTGAATGCATCATACAGCAAGAACAACTTTCATTTAGCTTTCCTTTGAGCAGAAGCAGCAATGCCAAGAATTTCTGTGGAAATGAAATTCTTATCAATTAATGTGTTTGTTACCATTGACTTTAATGAAAATCGAATTACCCACACATTGAATCCACAACTCCGAAATGTTCCAGTGTCCAGTTGTGAAACTAGATAGGTGTTATCTTAGTAGTTTAATTGCTACAGGCAACCAGGTTTACAGGCTATAAAGGGATTTGCATTCATTTTGAAATTCTTTATCTAAAGATCTCTCTTTTCCTTGGCAAGATTTTTCATCAGAGAAACAGAATAATTGTTGATGTGCACAAAAACTGTTGTACAGAAATTCTCGATACTTTCTTTCACACAAGATGGGACAGTGTCATAGCAGAAGGGCTCATAAATCAGCCCATGCACCGAATGTGTACAGAGAAAAGCCATCTGATTATTTCCCTGTATTAATCAGCTATGACAGGGGTTCCAACCTTATTGTCAGCTGAACCCCTTCGTTTGTATTTTCGGTTATTTCTGTTTTTTTATATGTTGAATAAAGACTCTTATATACCCTAAAATGTATATAACGATCCACATGGCATTTCTCGACCTGGAAAAGGCATAAAACAGGGTACCGCATGATCTCATCTGACGTGCGCTGAGACAGCACCACGTCCCCGAAGCCTATGTCAGCTGGACAAAGCTCCTGTACCAAAAGGCCACTAGCTCAGTACATGCGCAGCTGGAACCTCAGACACCTTCCCGATCAATGTTGGCGTCCACCAAGGCTCAGCCTTGTCTCCTCTGCTATTCATACTTTGCATGGATACAGTGACCAAAGATATCCAACCGAGGCATCCATGGACGATATTGTATGCTGTCGATGTTATGATAGCAAGTGAAACGCGACACAGCCTCGAACAACAAGTACAGGAGTGGAAGACGCGCCTTGAACGGTTCGGGATGAAATTGAACATCATGAAGACGGAGTACCTGGAATGTGGTGATCAAACCGATGGCACAATCGCAGCTGGTGGGGTCCGACTGAACAAAGTGACCCAGTTCAAGTACCTAGGCTCATGTGTCAACTCTGACTGCACTACCCTCCAAGATGCCAAGACGCGAGTCAGCGCCTCTTGGATGAAATGGCGGCAGGTCACTGGAGTACTATACGACAAGAAGATCCCTTTACGCCTAAAATCCAAAGTCTACCGCTCAGTGGTCAGACCAGTGGCCCTATACGGAACTGAATGCTGGCCAACGACAAAGAAACATGAACAGGCACTCCATACGATGGAAATGAAGATGCTGCGATGGACCCTCGGCTTGACAAGACTAGACCATGTCATGAATGAAGGCATGTGAAAAACACTCAGAGTCGCCCCAATCGCTGAGAAAATGAGGGAATCGCGCCTGCGATGGTATGGACACGTGCTCCGCAGCAATGACACAGTAATGGCAAAGACCGCCCTCAAATTGAATGTGGAAGGCCGCCGGCTCCGTGGACGACCATTTCCGCGCTGGCTGGATCGGCTGAAAGACTACATGCGCCTCGCAAAAGTCACATGCCGAGACGCCGCAGACCGTGCGAAGTGGAAAAATATACCCTACAATATATTTAATATGAGTCCAGGTCTTTCTTACTGATCTGCATAGACTTTGGGTAGACAGAAAAACAAATGAGCCAGAAAAGTATTTTTTCATTAACATGTATGCTATAACAGTTTTCTCAGTTTGAGGCATTTTTTTTTCATTTGGTGACAAATGTATCCATGTAAGAAAGGAACTTTCAGGAACATGATTGGAATAATGTAAAAAATCCAAATTATTCAATATCATTTTCTAGTCTATATATTTAGCACAAAATGGATAAACCACAGCCCCTCATGAGTCACAAGGCAATATGAGAAGATTTCTATATCTTGAATGGGTTAAAGCTCTATTATGTTAATTATAAAGTTCAGCAATACCTGCGTTGGCTAATTTTGGTCTGGTTAACCTCAAAATTAAACACTTCTGTTACTTCATCAAGTGTACTTCCAGGTATTGAAAACCAAATAGGTTAAGGTATTATTTACTGAATGAATCATGAAAAATGAACAAAAGCTCAGTATTGAGACTGAGTATTCTGTAAACAGCCCCTTGTGACTTGTCAACAGAAACGGTGAAAAAGGGTAGTCTTTCTGTCCTGGTGACACAACTCAACTCAAACTGCTCACTTCTGTATGCAAATGGACTTCACTATTACACCACACATTAACCGTTACTGTACTTTTCAAGAAGAGGAACAAATGTGTTAATCTTATCAGGCTCATTAATAGAATTTATTTTAATTGAATTCTTGGTTACTGTTGTTAGGGTGTTGATGACCATGTTTTCAATAACAAAACCACTTCCCACACTACATCATAATCCACTATATTCTTTTTCAGGTACCGCTGAAATACCTCTTCTCCTAAGGTACCTTTAGTAAATTAACGGCTTACCAAGGTAATTGATACACAACACCAACTTGGGAAAAATACGTCCAAAAGACTCAACCAAACACAATTTCCAACATCTCAACTCTTAGATTATATGTATTGCAAATCGGGACATTAAAAAAAAACAGATCTCTAAATATATGTTAAAGGTTAACCTATGTCTTGTAATGCTAGCTAGATATACCCTTAAACAGATTCCTTCTCAAGACAAGGTTTTTAAACTGAGTCCTCTATGGAGAAACATGCTTCAGTCCTAGTTTTATGTTCCTGGAAGTGGTTGATGAGATAAATTACACATTCCTAACAAGTGTATATTTATTAGAAGAACTACTTTAATAATCTAGCACTATGGTTTTTTTTCCTCTAAAGTATACTGAAAATCCAAATAAATCCATTTGACTTATCTTACAGTCTCCAGAAACAACGCAAATTACTGAAACAAATATGTATTTTGTTATTTTACCAAATCATACAACTCATTAAAGGTGTAACCATGATTTCATTTATAAAGTGATTAACCAGAACAGATTTATAGCATACAGGCTATCCTTGGTAAACGCACCTCAGCAGAACTGACCGTTTACACTCTTGATTATCTGACCTTTCTCACAGGTGTTGTAAATTGAACACTTTCTTGGTCAGTATATCAATAGCTAAAAACATCAGTACACTGACTTGGCAAAAACAGGGTCACAGACTAATGCAAATGGTGACTTCAATTACTGCAATGTATTGACTACATTTAGGTTCAAACATTAAAAGCTCCCTGCTTTTGCTGTCAGCTGATAAAGAACGAATACATACAGTACAGGTGCAAATTATTTTACAGGTCAGAGAGTCTGCAATACCCAGCTCAATCAGTTGATAAATAATTATATTAAAAGTTAAAGTAAGGTTTATCATGTCTTTTTCTCTTCTATTCAGGCATTCTAATTGTAAATGTGGCTCTTTTTACATAACTTTATTTCTATGTAGCTCTGTTCTTACACTATTAACTATTGGCCAAACTGTCAGACCTTTTAAAGCTTCTGTTGCTGTTTAATTCAAAGTACAGTAAAACTAAAAGGTTTCATTATACAAAACCTTTACTGTGATCTTTGTATCTAAATACGCTTTTTACTGCGAGCACAGAGCAGGAAACTCAAGTTACTGAATTTCAAACAATATGGATCCCTACCTACTAGAAGAAAATGTTCTGTAATAAAATTCTGACAACAATACATCCTCCCTTTGTAATTGTGAGTACAGCCACAAAACAGCAAGGTGTTTGTAGATGTGCTATAACGAGGAAAGGGTCAAGGCAAATCACAGACTTTTTGTGGTTATTATTACCTTTGTAATTAAAAGCAAAATAGTCTAGATTTCCAATGTCAATTGGTGCAGTACTTGAGACCTTATTAGAAAGCGATTAATATAGTCCTTTAATATAAAAAAACACATAACTGTTCTTTATTGTTTAGTGTACCTTTACTGAGAAATATTGAAGTTAAAACAGCATAAGTCATACCGTTGGACCAAACCCTTCTTTGTACAACCATGAATCACAGGTATGCTGTAAAATAAATTTAGCAATCTGAATATATTAAAATACTTTATTCATGAAGAAACTTCCATTAGGCCAACATCACAGCTTGTTTAAGATATGTGATTTATTAACTAGGTACATAATAACGAATCTATCATAATGCCACAACTCTTCCTCCTCCTATGTAGGATTGGTGTTTAGTGGGTTTTTTTTTCATTCCTCCAGAGTAAAGAAATGATTGTTGAGCTAGCCACTCAGTATACAAAGAATGTATTAAGTTTGGGTTTCAACAGTATTGTATATATTGTATGAGAGCTTTCAATAGGCTTTTACTACCAGCAGAAACCATATCCTCAGTAGCCAGAGCTACAGGACAAAGCAGTTATTTTTGATTTGCATGGTATTTGTATTTATTTACTTTATCAAGTGCTGTCTGCTTAGCCCTTGGGCAGACAAGAAGTATAATCATAGAGATCTCACATTCAAGACAGGTTAAATACAAAATATGGTTTCTGCAACTAAGACTGCTATTTGTATGCTGGCAACAAAATTGCCTTGCAGGTGCATCAGAACAGGTGATGTTAATGCCTTGATATTGCAGAAACTGAGCAGACTGTACCCAGCTTAATTTACTCTCCCTTGTTTATTGACACAGATAAGTTAAGATTTTCCTTTATATCTGTGCAATCGTGCCAGTATCAGATAATTGTTTTGCATGACATAAACCATATCAATTCCCTAAAATGTTTTAGTATATTTAAAAACCATTCTGTGCCTGGATCAAAGACTCACCTTAACATCATGAGTCAAATCATTAAGATAGCGATTTAATGTAATCATATAAATAAATTTAAAGCACTTAAACTGCCTAGGCATGTTTTACATTTAGTTCTTTAAACATTTTCAAAGTACCAGAAACAAAGATAAGCAATGTGTAGGCTTTTCTACTCATGGCTGCAGAAAGGTTCTCCATAGTTGGGTATCTTGCAAAATATATCAGACTTTTGCATTTCAAATCTTCAGCTATTTTTTTACATAAAAAGGAAAAGGCATTTTAAATTGAAATTACATTTTAAAATATGGTGATTAATAGAAACATACTTTTTTTATTAGAAAGTCACTTATTCCTGGTAAAGGCTTCAGCAATCCAAAGACAATCTTGGAAGAACAGGTCATAATGAGGGATCCCACTTTAAGAGGGGCACCAGTTTGAAGCAGGACAAACTCAGATACAAGCTCTCAGGGATAATAAAGAGGCACCAGCTAACCTAACTAGCGTGTCTTTGAAAGGCAACCGTAGCACCCAGCAAAACCCCATGCGAACACATGGTGAACATACAAACTCCACACAGAAGGCATTCCATCCCAGAATTAGGACACCAGGACCCAAGAACCATAAGGTAGGAGTGTTAACTGCTATGCCGCTGTACTGCCTATACACATTTTTAACAAAAATCTAAAACAAATACTAGCAATGCATGCAAAAGGTAATTTGGTTATGTTAACTGATAAACTTCAACCCTATGCTAAAGTTATATTGCATTGCCTTCTACATGGTTCATGGCTCTACAAAATAATAACGTATTATACGGCACTCCTGTGGTCTTTATTTAGCTAGTCGTACTTTTAAGACTTATTGATTAAATGGGTGGGGTGCAATTTTCTGTTCCGTAAGTCAGAAAGCAGCCCACAGTCCCTGCATTTTCTTTTCATTAGAAGAATTTCCAAGGTGTGACCTCCACAGCAGCCTGCCAAGCTTGGATAAATATTTCCTTGACCAATCTTTCCTTGACAATGAATTGTACCCATAACAAGAAAGTCATTAATCATTCAACTGCATCAGCGTCTGTTTCAGAAAGAACATAGCGCAACGTGGCTGAGCACAAACTACGCATCCCTGAATAGTTCATTATTTGGCTTTTCCTTATATTTATTGTCATGTCCAGTGGTTTCATGCATAGGGCAGCACAGGTGAATGTACCTAGTGTTCAAGCTTCATGTTTGTGCCTTCTCTTGAATCATCTTCAAGAAAATAAAAAAATGTATGGTATAATATGTGACTCTTTTAATCTAATCTAAAATCAGTCCACTCTGTGTCCCCCAGTTGACTTGCAGAACACAGAATCTTATTATGTATTTCGATTGCAGGGCTCCAGAGTTTGCAGGGTATCAGTAGCTTCAGATCTGTGCTGGGCGGCTCACTGAACTAAATTATGAGTACAATACTGTAAGACCTGGCTAGTAAGGCAAAACTTATAATACTTTGTACAGTTTTGGTCCTCCTTACATAAAAGATATGGCTGCTCTGGCAGAGAAGATTAACCAGATACATTCCTAGGCTCAAAGGAATTTCCTACTATGTTAGGCTAAAAGATTAAAGCTGACCCCTTTGAACTTCTTTAGAATCTACAGTGAAACACAAAAACACACATGGGACACAAGAGGAAACTGTAGGGAGCTGTAAATTAGACTGACAATATACTGTAAGGAGCTTCTTTACAGAAAGGGCTGTGGGAGCATGGATCAAGCTACACAGCCATGTTGTCAAAGCAAATACCCTGACGTCATTCAAGAAACACCTGAAGGTTATCAATTATTTATTAGCAACCAACTGAGTAAGAAGCCCTAACAGCCTCTTCTCATTTGAAGCCTTTCTTTTGTTCTCATGATGACTAAGGAGATGCAAAAACCCTGCTGGATTGTTCTGCCTTCATTGAGCAGACTTGGGGAGCCCCGGTCTTTGTCTCTTTGTAGAAATGTTTTCAACAACCTTTCAACAAATGAGAAAGTGTGTCCGTCCCAATCAGAATGATCAGATATGAGGTATCTCCAAAAGACTAAAGTAAAGAAACACAATGATTGAATAATGCCTGAAGTTCACACCTAAACGAGGCTCCACAGTCGAAACATTGTGTTTTCTTTTCAGCATGGAATAAACCTATTACTTGTTCCTTTGCAGCCTATGCATACATGTTGATGCAGCTGCACACTGAACTACAAATTACATATATATGAGGGAATCAGAATTGATCATATTTATACACTGCACTTACCACAATATCAGGAGTTATTTAATGCTTAAGACTCTCTGCATATTTATCCTCAAGAATATATCTTCACATGATCGCATATATTTGATCACTGAATGTAATACGTAATGAAAGTTTGCCTAAGGTGTGTACTGCCTTAAACACTGTTTCACAGTAATTTGCGCAGCTCAAAAATGCGGCTTCATTCTACTGATGAGATTTATAAGACTTATCAAACAGACCTGTGTGACTTTTTATCTTTAATTTAAAAAAGTAGAGGTCTGAAGAAAGACATCATTTCATAGCAGAAAGCACACTATAAATAAAAAAAACTAAAAAAAAAACTGTATTTAAACTTTTTTTCAGGGAAAGCTTGGGACGTAACTTTTTCTGCTTTGGATATATACAGTTTACATTTTTATTAGCATTTCCTGGATGTGAATTCCTTCAACTTTGTGAAACGTGCGGGAATCTGTGATATCAGTTTGAAATGAAGAAGAAAAGGACAATTTAGGAATGTTAACTAGTGCTGACTGAAAATGAAGAGTCTCTACGGACAGTTTGAGGGACAGTGGTCCCTTTTGTTGTGCTGCTCACTGTTTATATTTATTACAAATTCAAAGACTGCGGATTCAACATTAACCACAGGTAAAGAATATCTTTTTATTTTATAAATATTTTTTTTTTCTAAAATGCTCTGGCTTTTATTGGTAATTTTAAGTTACACCCTTGATATGGTGTGAAATGCATCACTGAAAATTTGAATATTAATTTACTAATTTAATTTACATTGAATTGTAAAGCATACAAATCTTCGCAACATTAATGATCTACTTTCTTCTGGGGGGAGAAACACTTTTTCTGTAATGTTACGCTCTTTAGAACAAAGCTCTTCAAATCACATCAATCAAATAATACTTTTATACCCTCTTCAATAATTTGCCACCTAAAAACATAGGATTATCTACTTTGAATCCCAATACAACAATGACAAACTTCTCAATAATAACTTTCTATGTACTTCACATCATCACATCACTTTCAGTGACCTGTTATCCAATTCAGATTTAGAGTTGCCTGGAGCCTATCCTGGGAAGCACTGGGCACAAGGCAGGATACACTCTGGATGGGACGCCATGCAGGCAGGGCACGCACAGACACGAAAACACTCACACGCTCACACTAGCACCAAATTACAGTTAATGAACCAGCATTGGTCTTTGGCCTGTGGGTGGAAACCCAGAGGAAAACAATGCAGATACAGGGTAAACGTACAATCTCGATGCAGATAGCACCCCAGGAATTGAACTTGGGCCCTGTGAGGCAGTGATGCTAGCCACTTTGCCACCATGCAACCCCCCACAATCATTCTATGTACTCAACTATTTGAACAAATTAACATTCAATTTGAAAATAATTGGCTATAATAAGTAGCTAAACAAGAACTCAGGCTGGGCTCCTTGAACTACTTCAATGATTCTTTGTTGGACTATGGTGACTTCGAATGGGTTCCCCTAAGCCGCATATGAAAGGTTACAAAATAAGAGGAATCCATTCAGGGCCCCTGGCCTGTTTGGCAGTTGCTAACTGATCCACGGATTTCACCCAGTTGTTTGTTGCAAATCATGTAAAACATACAAAAGTATTTATGATTAGTTTGTTATGCGTAAAATAAAATGTTCATCTAAAGCACAAGTAGCTTTGCGGTTAGATCCTTTTGTTATCACAAAACAGCGATGTGTATTTAAATGAGTACAGATGCTCATTTACTTAGTTACCTAAATGTGTGGGATGTTGAAAGAAAATACATTTTAAATACAGTATTCTTTCAGAGGATCAATATTACCTACCCTATAGGTAGAACTAAAGCAGTGGGAAGAAAGTACTATGTTAATGCACTTAATTACTATTACTGCATTAACAACAATTGTGACAGATGTCTTTGCTCCACTATGTCTGTAAGATTGGTCAGGGCAGTGACCGGTAGACCAGG